CGTTTTACGACGGCCTAAAAACCCGAAAACCCAGTAGTTTACATGGTTAATTTTTTAGCATCATCGAATGATTGTAGTTTTTTTACTCAGAAACTGTGCATTTTATCAAAAAACTCCGATACTTAGGAGCTATTTTGTTGCGAAACAAAATCTATTATTGGCTAATCACTTTTTTGCAGAAAACCATCCATTGTTGTGGAGGTTTTCTACCGTTTTTCGGCCCGGAAAGTATCAAACGTTAAATTTAGCGTTAATTTCCTGGCGCAGTCCAACGTTTTCATTTTTTCGACCAAAAACTGCGCTCTGTCCAAAAATATAAGAGTTTTGTAGCTATTGAATCTGGCGCATTGCTAACCAACTTGCAAAGTACTTCGAATAATTGAATCCTCATAACTGGCATTGATAACTGAAACGCTGATGTGATGAAACAATTTATATTCACGATCGGTTTCAGGGTCTCATGCAAATGGCATGTTTGCAAATAGTTTAAGAAACTGTTAAATTACAGTTATTGCATAGGTTTGGTTTAACAGTGCAAACAAGTTGTCTAAAAGCTCTTTTTCCCAAAAAAAAATGGTTTCTTCAAGGTTCCAAAGGGTGGAAAGTTGGGCATTTTGGCATTCGATAGAGCAGGCTTGCGCTGGTTTATTATGAAAGTTTCGACTGGATATCATCGTCAGGCTTTTGTGCGAACATTGCCAAAGTCCAGTGTTTGATTTAAAGCTGGTCAAAAATGTCGATTGCATGTCGGGCCTGAAAGTTTCGGTCCAATGTCATCATCAGGAGTATTCACTCTTTACTCATGAGAGATTAACGCGAGTTTCGGCGATAAAACGAAGCTAATTCGATTATCAGCGGGAAATTCTGCTTTTTCGAGCATAATTTGTGGCGTTGCAAGCTGTAGAGTTTACGTAAAGTCGAGTTCCAACGGAACAGTGCCTGCTCGAAAACTCCAAATTTCATAAAAGGTGGAATTGATCAATCGACATTCCATTTTCGATCGGCAAGTTGGGAAAACCATTATTCCGCTTTAAAATATTTCCCTTGGTAAACACAACATTGTTCGCACAGCCAAACATCTTTAATCTATCAATAACCGCATGTTATTTAAACATGGGCGTTGATGATAACAATTATACATAAATCTCTGTTGGTTTTGGCTTGAAAATTTCTATGAATTATTAGCGAAAAGTCTGATTTTTGCATGCAAATTTGGAAATAATCCTACGGCGACCCAGCAGTTTTATGAGCCTTTAAACCACGCCAGTCTAAACATCGATCCAGAATTCATCACCTGGCCTTTGTAAAGGTTGCTCTATTCAAACGCGAATGGCCCCAAAACGGGATCGCGTGAAGTGACTTTTCCATATCTGTTATCATTGATGAGTTAACTAAATAATAAATCGCGCGATTATCGTCTGGTCTCAATTCAGATTACCGCAGTACCTACTTTTAGATAAGGGAATTGTTTCAAGGTGAAGAACTTGAGCAACGCACTTCAATTGGTTTTTACTGTTTATCGGCACAAGAACACCAAGACTGTGTTTGCGCCAGATTTCTCTTGAATGTTTGCTAAAATAGAAAAAAATTAATAATGCTGAACGCCAAAATAATGAAGCTGATGAAGCGTCTCGAGGAGAAAGAGAGCGAAAAAACGCAATTCTACGTAACGGTAAACAGCATCGGGATACGTAAACAAGCTACTTTCATTGTTGTTGATGATGAGTCGCAGAAATTCGAATAATACCAGGCTGTAATAAATTCGGTTCAATTGGGAGCAGTTTTTCCTTAACTGTAGAAACATTGCCGTCTACAGTCTCAGACAGTAGAGCGTTGACTGGACAGAATTATGAAACAATCATTAATTCGAAAATAGTTTGCACTTTGGCGCACTTCCAATGCGACAAAGTGTGGGTTTTTTGATCAAAAATGTGCCTCTTTGAGATCTCAATGACTTTGTACATTCTAATGGCGGCTTTTTTGCTCCAGGTAACTACTGGTGAAAATGACTTGGACAAAGACGAGGTGAACATAATCAGCGGTGCTTTGGAGCTTCGCAAGAAGTCAGTGGCAGCAGTTATGACTAAAATCGAAGATGTCTTCATGCTGGACTACGAGGCAGTTTTGGACTTTGAAACCATCACGGAAATCATGAAGAGCGGCTACTCTAGGTGGGATGACCAACGAGCGAAGGTCCTCACCCAGAGCTAATCGTCCGTACTTTTCCAGAATTCCTGTCTTTGACGGAACAAGACAAAACATCGTGACCATGCTTTACATCAAGGACTTGGCGTTCGTGGACCCCGACGACAACACGCCCCTGAAAACTCTTTGCCAATTTTACCAAAACCCTTGCAACTTTGTCTTCGAGGACGTCACATTGGACGTAATGTTCAAGATCTTCAAGGAGGGCAACAAAGGCCACATGGCCTTCGTTTCGCGTGTAAATTCCGACGGAGAAGGCGATCCGTTCTATGAAACCATCGGTCTCATCACGTTGGAGGATGTTATTGAAGAGCTGATCCAGGCGGAAATCGTCGATGAAACTGATGTGATTAGTGAGTGAATCGATTGGGAAGCTGTCCAGTAATCGGGGTTAACGAGTGTCTTTTCAGCCGACAATCGCACCAAGAGGCGCAGGAAAAACATCACATCGGAGAACAGGAAGGATTTCACTGTGTTTGCAGACAAAACCGACAAGAACAAAGTTCGGATGAGTCCGCAGCTCACGTTGGCTGCTTACCAGTATCTAAGCACCAGTAAGTAAAGGGTCCAGCTTTAAATTCAGGGGGGGTTATGTAGAAAAAATACGGTCTTCTGTTGTCTATGAAATTAGAAAAATTATCGTCGTTTTGTGCAAGGGTGGCACAAGATTACTGCAAAATTTCATGTTTTCCGTCCCGTTTTGCATGTT